GGGGGGTGGGGGAAGTGTTTCTTGAGGTCGAGCTCATATTACCGTCGGACGCGAGGATAACGATCCGGGAACTTCGCTCATGTCGCAAAGTCCGTATCCCACTGAGCTAGAAGACGTGCAGATTTGTCACGAAGAGATCTAGACGCTCCCTTTCGATATTAGCAGCGGCAGGAGGGCAGTATTGACGCGGGCGAGGGATAGATGAAGAGGAATGAAGAGGACGATGAGGGAGAGAGAGGGAGAGATTGAAGATGAAAAATGGGAGTGAGAGAAGGAGAGGGAGAGAGAAAGAGAGAGTAGAGAGAGAGAGAGAGAGATCGCGCATACGGCGGACAGTGGTAATAAAGAAAATAAAAAATGGCAAGGCATGTGCTGTGCTCCTTTCTCCGAGTGGGCAGAGGCTGCTATGCTTCGCGCCGAGGCAAGTGTAAGTCGAGAGCTGGCGAGAATAGCGTAGCGCAGAACATGAGCTCCAGAAAGGCAATCATGCGCGAGGTGTGGGCGAGAATCGCAAGTGGTAGAACTACCCCTTGAGACTCGCCTTACACCTTGAGTTGAAGAGGTGTAGGTCCTATTGGTTCAAGTGTTAAATAGTGGGTTCGTCAATATTTTTTTCGTTGAATACCCGTGAGAAAAACAAAGGACTTTTTTCAAAATATAGCTACTATCCGCGCGTTTTTTTGCGAAGCATAACCTGGGTTGTGTTTTGGCAGTATGCTTTATTATTCTATTTATTTTTATGGGGCATTATGTCCACATGGTAGTCTCTGTCCTTTACGGTAGGAACCACCCAGATTCATTTCTGCCACGGATGGGATTCTTGGAGTGGTCCTGGTATCTACCGTAGGACTCAAATGAATAATAATGGTACTGTTTTCTTTTTCAAAAAATGAGAAGAAGAAGGAACCCATACCCAATCTTTTCATCACAGGATGGTAGCAATATATGAACTGAGATCGAACATACAATCATTACCCGAGATTATCCATACTTTGTCCCTTCATCGAATCAGGCGGGCGTGTGTGAGCTCCCTTTACCTCATTTTATCAAATTTCTAATTTATATTTATTTAATTATGTGTGTATGTGTGTGTGTGTGTGTGTGTGTGTGTGCACGTCTGTGTGTGTGTATGTCTGTATGTGTGTATGCGAGAGAGAAAGAAAAAAAGAGAGAAAGAAACAACTTTGGAAACGTATCACGACATAGTCGTTGTCAAGATACGTTAATCCGTTTTGGTCCTTACGAGTGTATCTGGTCCAGAACGCGCCAGATACATGTAGGATCTTGAGCACTCTAGCGTGGACCATAATCTACCGTTACAAATTAGAAACGTGAGTCGGATTTTATATTTTATTTTTGGGGAATACTCAAAGTACCATTTTTTTTCCCCTTTCTTTCAATTTGGATCACAAAAAAAAAAAAAAAAAAAAAAA